TACCTACATACCTACATACCTACATACCTACATACCTACATACCTACATACCTACACGTGGTGGTGTCACCCCTACCCGACCACACGATCTTTAATGCTGTAGAGCACGGGGGTCGGTGAGCGAACCTACGAAGATTCCCGCCTGCTCGATGCATGTTGTATTTACTGTCGTGGGGTTGTTTCTGACAAACCCATGATCTCTGCCGCTGGGCAATTTCCCCCCGAAAAACAAACATGAGATTCGATCGCATTCGTCAATCGATTAAGCAATGTTCATATTCGCTCAGGACGATTTTTTGGAGGGCTCTGTCAGGTACAGTTGCCGCCATTGTTCGAAGGAAGGCATGCTACAGTGTCTCGTCGTAGCCTCTCGACCGGATCTCGTTCTCGCGTCGTTCGCAATAAGCGCTTCATGGCCTTCGTATCTTTAGTCTAGGTGGGTAGGTAGGTAGGTAGGTAGGTAGGTAGGTGGGTATCTATCATAGCTACATACAGACTTGAGAGCCACTTGCTCGCCATGGCATAAGCCGCCTGTCTGTGTCCACCCATGTCTCGTTTGAGCAATTGCATTCTGTCCATGCCCTCCGATCCTGTTCCGTACGCTCTGAGTTTGTAAGCACCTGCTTTCTGAGACTGAAGCGAACAGGAGCACATAGGCCCACAGCTTCAGACGCAGTTGGTATCCAGGGGTGTTTGTGCGTCGTTCGTCAGATGACGATCAAGGAGCTCTCAAGCCATACCTCCAGTCATACACTGCGTCGCCTCGCATTGTGCACGCTCAATCGAATAAATCTCCAGCCCGTCTCCTGACTCGCTTCTCTCGAACAGGCGCATCGAATAACTCCTTGCCTTCGTTCCGTGCCCCGGTACCTGCTTTCTGGTACTGGTTCGGGAACAGCTCTTTGACCTCGAGCGCTCTTCCCTTGATGCTCAAGCCGCCGGATCCTTTGATGCTCAGTCCGTCGGAAGCGCCTTTGATGCTCAGCCCGCCACCGCCGCCGCCTCCATTCGAGGGAAACAACTCCACGCCAGCATTCGCAGCTCCGTTTCTCGACTTGGTGCTATCGATCGATATGCTCTTTCTGGCGAACCGTTCAGCGAGGTCTTCTTCGTTCTTAGCGTCCATGGCGTGGCTTCGTCGATGATTCGATCTGGGACTTGTTTGCGCGGCGCTGAGGAGGTCGGCTTTCAGGCGCTTTGCCGCGGCAGCGTTGGCGCGGTTATTTGCCGTATCTATCGGGCGCGAGGAGGCAACAGGATCCGTGGACATGGACGTGTCGGTAGTATCTGATGGCTTGGCAGGGAAGAGGTCCAGTCGATCGGAGCGAAGACCACCGCCGGATTTGGGCGAGGAGCTTGACGAGAAGAGTTCCTTGCCTGCATTATTGACGCGGGGGGGAGCAGCACGGTCTCGGTAATTCCTCCGTCGTGCGCGGCCGTCGTCGTCGGACTCCGAAATCTCAATCTCGTCACTGTTGCGCGTCCTCATGCCCGGACTCGCACTTCTTCTCCTCCCCTTGGTGACACGGGAGAACAAATCTCGACCTCGAGCCTTGTCGGTGTTCTCTGGATCCGTGGCAGGCGCGTCGTCGTACATGTCCGCCGAGAAACTGTTCGTAGGGTCATCACCTCCGTTCCCGGCGTCCTGATATCCTCTCCCGCCACCACCGCCGCGCCGTCTGTAGAGTTCTCGGTCGTCAAATCTGCGGCGTCGGTAGTCACCTCTTGTGTTCTCAAATTCTTTGCGCATGCGTTCCGTAGGGTCTTGGTCCGGGTGCATCAAGTAGTATCTGCTTGCTTCACGAGCGCCTTTCTTCTTGCGATCGCCTTGCTGAGCTACCCTCACGTGGAGCGTGCTCGCTGGTCGGCTCGTTAGGTGTTTCGCGGCGCGGAGCTCGAAGGGATTGTTCGTGAGTTCTTCGACACTGACTGGGTTTGCGAGGAATGCGATATGTGCTTGTTTCGCAGCGTCGTTGGCCTTGAAGACTATGTTCGCAGAGCTATCGTCGACCCATTGCACGTGGACGTCGTCGCCCGCTTGGCTGAAGTGGTCGTGGACGAATGCTAGGATGTCGTTGGTATGCAGGTCGTCGACACCGCGGATGTGCACTTTGTTCCATTGCGGCTCGAGGGCAGGATCTTCGGTGTAGATGGCGGGAATAAGAGTCGAGGGATTGGTGACGGATGTTGCGGCGCCGGAGGGCACGAACGAGGGTTCTTCGCCTTCCTGTGGTGGAGAGTGTGAGGTTCAGATAAGAGGGAAGGGAGCTAGGGTCAATGTACTTCGAGCTGGAACTCATCGTCGAGAAATGGACCTTGATCGTCCATGTCCATGTCGATATCAATGTCCATCAAGTCGGCATCCTGTCCCGAGGACACAGCCGGCGTCATGGCGAGAGCCATGTTGGGAGCAGGTTGCAATGCTGAGGCAGTTGTATTACCAGAATTGAGAGAGGCTAGGTAAGCGTGCTCGATGGACAGATCCACGGTGTAAGGTATCGCTCAGAGAGGTATGTACATGGTCGGGTGGATTTGCAAGGCTGTAGTGAATGGAATTGAACAAGTTGCTGGCTGCCCGAGTGTAGGTGATGTGGGTCAGAAGACGCATTTATGGAAGAGTCAGTGACAGAGCGGACATGGTACAATCGACAGAAGATAATATCAATAGAAAAATGTTTGATATTACATGGTCGTGACAAACGCGGTGCGTGCAAGGCTCAAACCTCGCAGCTTCGAGGCTCGAGGCTCAAACGCTGATTGTCTGCTCCGCTGATATCATTTTCCGGGACTGCCAAAAAGGGAATTGACTTGACGCCGCTTTTTGAATGTTGATTCGCTCCGTGTCTCCGCACCGGTTTCCCCGCGTCCAGTCGTCGAAGCGAGAGAGCAAACAACCACACAATATGGCCCGAGGCTGGGCTGACGCGCGAGGAGACATCCAAGCTAAGTCGACGGATCCGTAGCTCCGTTCGACAGCCCGCGAGGCTAGGGACTTGTGTCCAGCTGTAAAACCGCGCAGTGAAACATGAATAGAGCCTGGCAAGCCTGCCGTGCTGCTTGAGACCGCTGCTCCTCCGTGCCATGAATGCTAGAAGCTTTCGTAGGCTAGCCTCCTGGAAGGGGCCTTCTCGATGGGCAGGAAGCAACATGGCCGCTGCTACCCACCGGGCCCAAAGGAGACACCTCTCAGTCCACCGTATAGCCGGCTCCTTGGGCGCTGAGATCCGTGATGTCGACATCAACGAGTTAGAGGAAAACCCAGGCCTGGTCAAGGAGATCCGCGAAGCCTTCCTCCAACACCAGGTCATCTTCTTCCAGGATCAAGAACTCGACGCTGAACGATTTCTCAAGTTCACCAAGTTTTTTGGCAAGCCGGTCGAATACCCCTTCGTTAAGGGCATCGACGGCTTCCCTACCATCATTGAAGTGCTCAAACAAGAACACGAAACTGTCAATTTCGGAGGCATCTGGCATTCTGACACTACCTACTTCGAGCACCCGCCCATGGGCTCGGTACTCTGGGCCAGAGAAGTGCCTCCCTACGGCGGCGACACGATCTTCGCAAACCAGTATGCCGCATACGACACGCTTTCCGACGGCCTCAAAAACACTCTCTCCAACCTGAAAGCAGTCAGCACCTCGGCAAAAGCTGACACTAGCAAAACCCGCGAAGACCGGATCCGGGACTCGGGAAACTCTTCGGCCAAAGATTCCTTTGAAGCTACACATCCTGCTGTCCGCGCTCATCCTGAGACCGGCCGAAAGGCGCTGTACGTCAACGTCGCGCACACCTCGCACTTCGAAGGCTGGACTGAAGAGGAGTCGGCTCCGCTCCTGGCGTATCTGTTCAAGCACCAGGTGAAACCGGAGTTCACATGCCGCTTCCGTTGGCGGGTGGGGAGTATTGGGTTTTGGGACAATCGTTGTGTGCAGCATAATCCGATTAACGACTACCATGGGTTTAAGAGGAGGATGCTGAGAGTTACCCTAGAGGGCGATAAGCCGGTGTAGGGGCTCGTCTGAAGCAGAGAGATGTTCGATGGGACAAGAATGAATGCGAGCTCGAGAATAGAGGCAGCTTGGCGAAAGCTACAATCCTGAATGAGCTAACAGGCAGGGACGATCATGAGCTGGCCCAGTGGCAAGCACGACCAAGCATCGACAGTGAGAGCCAAGAGGAATGACAGACGAACCTGTAAGGACGAAGACTGCGACACTGGGGTTCAGGGAAGCTTCCAATCACTGTTCACGGCATTGCGAAGGATCTCATAGTCTAAAGTGCACAAGGAATGTTTGATTGCAGACCGGCCCAGCCCGAGTCTAGTATCTCGTAAAGCAACGCATAAGGGGGTATCATAGGCAGAAATAGATCGCTTTTGCTTGCACGCCATGCCACACTGTTTCATGTTCAACCATATATTCAACCTCTTGTCTTCACCATTCAACTTCAAGCATGTGTTGCCATGTCTTCAGCACTAAGCTGTCGATCTGACTCTCTTTGACGTTCTCAAGCCTTTGGCGACGGAGTTGATGAGGGTGGGGGATGGTTGGTAGTCCCCTTCACTGTCGTCGTCTCTGTCCTTCCTCTTGCGCGACTGTCGGAGATGCTCTGGTTCTTCGTTGTGACTCTCGACAAGGAAATCGGACTCTTCTTCTTCCTCCTCGGAGGGGTACTCTAGTCTCTTCTGGCGACGCTTCGTGGTGCTGCGAGACTTTGTCACACCGCCTGAAGTAGTGACCTTGCGTTGCTTGGATGTAGTAGTGGTGTTTCGTGTGACTTTCTTGCCTTGCTGGGATGTTGCGAGTGGGGCGCGCCTGTTGCGTCTTTCGTCGAACTGGGAGCGAAGACGGCCCTTGCGATTCCAGAAATTCTTCACAGCACCGCCGGCAGTTCTCTGGCAGCCATCCACTACCTGCATGCGACGCAGTGCCTCGGCAAAGCGAGCTTCACCTTGGATTTGCCCTTCGCGGTGAATGTCAAGCATATGACGAATGCATGCATCTTCTTCCCACAAGGCCCAGGCACGAGCCACTGGCTGACTGCGTGAAGCAGCAACCAAGTGGGCTGGTGCCGGATACGCGACCATGCTAGAGTCGACACTGCTTGAGGCGCCCGGGGTGTCATTGCTGACAGTGCTGGCAGACGTGTTGTCGATAGAGGTGGTGTCGTCGGTGTCGAGACTGTCGTCGTTGTTCACCACAGGGCCGGCGTCATTAGTGTCGATGGTGGTAGTGTTGTTGTTGACGATGGTGGTACCATTGTCATTGTTGTCACCGTCGCTGTTGCCGTGAGGGTCGACGTCGTCACTGTCGATGCTGTTGGTGTTGATGTTGTCTAGAAGCACCTCAGGACCAGCCTGAGGTGGCTCCTCGTCGTCAATGGCATTGTCTACGACGAAGCCTTCGACGTTCAAAGGGGACTCGTACTCCGCCTCCTCGGCGGCCTCCTCAACACCAGCAACAAGCTGCCAGAGGTCTTCCTGCAAGTCATCTTCTGGTTGCAGGTAGTATCTCTCTGCAGTTGCACTGGTTGAGCAGTCGCTTTCGGAGACGACCCCTGCACCGAAGGATGGGTTGAGAGGACTCGACGGCACAGAGGGACGCAACAACTCCAGATACTCCTGGTGTACATCTGGGTGTTCATCGAGGTATCTGAAGACTAGTACTCTGGTGGGAGAGCTGGCGCGGTACAGCCGATGAAGCTGTTGTTGGATTTGGTTGGCTCCGTTGCTGAAAAAGGAAGGCTCGTCGTGGTCGGCGTGGACCATGTTGACTTTTATAGCAGTAAAGACAAAAGGAGGAAGAGAAGGGGGCGCTTCGAATAAGATATGGTGGGAAATGATGTCGTGAAAAGGGTGTCGATGCTGTGTAAGTATGTGTGTATGTGGTGTGCCGAGGGGGGAGAAAGCGAGCTGCTCAAAGACATGGTGGAGATATATCTGAATATCCAGAGCGCTCACAGCCTGACAACCTACCTATTGTCTATTGACAGCGTATTGAGGCTGTCTGCGAAAGGAGTGGCGGCAGCAATACCCGTTCGGCTGGACCTGAATGCATTGAAGCGCATTGAATAGACTCGGAGGGGACGTGGCAGAAAAGCATTGAGAAAGTGACGTGACAGCAATATGCACAATAAGACATGGGGCATCAATAGACTCACATTGAACACTTCGCAGGGGAACAGAGTGATGGTAGAGATTCTGCCGTACCCATCGCTTCAATGCTTGAAGTTTTCATTCGCACAATTTTGAAAGGGACGCGCCAGTGAGCCTTGCTCAGCTTTGTCTGAATGGGATTTGTCAACTGATTTACCGCTATCACGGACATCTGCCTGTGCCGTCACTCGGGTACAGCGCAGCTTGAACGGTCGATGGCACAGTCTGTTGCGTGTAGGGACGTCCATCGGTTCGGTGGTAGCATCTCCTGGCCCACCAGTCCGTCATATTCAGCGGTAATCGCAAAGTTGGAGAAAGCCAGCTACAGTGGCCCTTCTGATGGCCTAGAGCTGAGATGAAGCGTTGCGACCGAGGGAGTTTGTGCAAGCCGTGATTTATCTGAAGCGAGCCAGGATTGTAGGGGGGACAGGATTGAGGTCAGAGCTGTCGAATGAGATAATGCTATCATCTTTCAAACCCTCCACCGTAGCCACCGCGATACGGCGAATCATCTTGGTCCCGGTCGGACTACAGTGTTATTGACCGCGTCTCCAATAGGTCTTCGCTTCCTCCGCCTCATCTGCACAAACCCAAGCAAGCTCGCCATGCCATGGCCGAAGCTCTGGTCTTCGTCGACAAAGGATGAAGGTGCCTCGCCAGAGACCATCGCCACGAAGGCAAACAGAACCTGGGAGTCGACGACTGCCATAGTGTCAGAGGCAGCTGGGTCTGTTCAGCGCAATACAGCGGAGGCCGTCCCTGCGCAGTTCAAGGCCTTTACGCAGCCCGAGACAATCGTAGCTGCAGTCGTCCTATCTGCCACCTCGTTCGGTCTCTACAGATTCTACAGGTCGTACCTGCGAAGGATACCTCAAGCCATCAATATCAGCCCTGGATACCTCGGGCGCAGGAGCCTTGTCGGCCAGGTGACGAGCGTCGGAGATGGGGACAACTTTCGCATGTATCACACACCTGGCGGGAGGCTCGCAGGATGGGGCTGGCTGCCGTGGAGGCGCGTCCCGACAGAGAAGAAGGCGCTGAAGGATCAAACAGTATGGACAAGCAACAAAGGTAGGAGATTGCTGAAGCTGACAACGCTGCGCAGATACACGTTCGTTTGGCTGGGATTGACGCGCCGGAAATGGCTCACTTCGGACGACCATCTCAACCGTATGCGCAAGAGGCTCTTGACTGGTTGACTGCATATCTCGTGGGTCGCCGTGTCCGCACATACGTCTACAAGGCAGACCAGTATAGCAGAGTGGTCGGTACTGTGTATGTCTGGAAGAAGTTGTGGCGGCGTGATGTTGGTCTACAAATGCTAAAAGCTGGATATGCTACGATTTACGAGGCCAAAACCGGTGTCGAGTTTGGAAGAGCCAAAGAAGAGCGATACAGGAGAGCCGAGTGGTGGGCAAAAGTGAGGCGGAAAGGGATGTGGGCGGGAAAGCAACCGGATTATGAGAGTCCTCGGGAGTACAAGAATCGACATGGAGTCGGCGCTCCAAAAGAAGAAACGAAGCAATGATGGCGTTTTTGACCGTGGTCTTGATACAGCGAGACGCAAAAGGTTATTGTTCTCGGCTTCAAACCACTAATGCAATAAGGCTTGACCGAAGGATACCCTGAACGATATGCACCTCTCAATCGAGCAAGCCCCAGTCACGTGATATGTTCAATATACGTGGTTCCTGAACTTATGGAGTGACTTCTATCTCGTCATACTTGTTGTGTAGTCCTTTCCTTGACGACCAGACATGCCCGCAACGGACTCGCCAGCGCTCATTGTAGCCCGCTTCTTGAAAGCGAATCACTACAACGAGGTATGTTTTTGGGATACTGAGCGCGGACCCTTCTCATGACGCTGTAGACTCTCAAAGCATTCCTCACCGAAGCAGGACTCACCGAAGATGTGGTGACACTGAACCCAGGCGACTGGACGATCGAAAAGATTCTCGAGGAGAAGAAACAATACGACGCCAGTCTCACGTATGAAAAGAAAGGCAACGACGCCGAGGTTGGATGGCCGGTACCGGCACCCTCAGCGGCATTCGAGCCAGAAAACTTCCCAGTGACATCCAACATTCTATGCGTGAGCGGTCACAGCCTGAACGGCGAAGCGTCCATTTTTGTCACCGCCGCGGATCGAACCTGGAGTCAATTGTCGCCCAAGCCACCATTTGAGTGGCGGCAAGGGTTTGGCAATCCCCATGGCAGTCCAATTCTATCGCTCCGTTCGTTGGAGGGAGGCTATGTCTTTTCAACTTCCATGTCCGGCCAGCTGATGCTACATGGCCGAGGCGGCGAATTGATCGACAAGGTCCGAGACCATCTCAAGTACGCGGTCCAGGTGGTCGTTGGCCGCACGCAGCAGGGCAAATGGATTGTGGCGACAGCGGGTTGGGATCAGAAGGTGCACATCTACGCCCCTGAGTATGAGTTGGCCGAGAACTTCCGGCCGAGTGAACACGCGACCTCTACTTCTTCGCTCAATGAACCGATCATCCCAGGACTCCTCCGCGATCCGATTCACACCATCTCCACGCCTACGGTTCCGGAATCCATGGTCCTCGTGCAACATCCGGACACTCACGACTTGTATCTCGTCGTCTCTAGACGAGACTCCACCTTCCTGTATTACTACTGCATCACGCCGACTTCGTCCGAATCGTCTTCCTCGCGGAGCGGCGAAGCCACCTATTCTGTCCAGGAGACGGGTAGACAGAACCTCGCGCCGCACTCGAACGCCTGGGTTGCCTTCACGCCATCCTGCCTGGCTTCGTGTCCACCGGATCCGACGCTTCTGGCCGTGGCGACATCTCACCTACCACATATGAAACTCCTGATCGTCCGTCTTCTCTTTCCTACGGGCTCCTACACGCCCAGCAACTCCTCCGCCACGGAGTTACAGTCCCATACGCAGGCAGCCCAGGCACGCGCAGCCCTGGCCATCCAGGACCGGGAGGATGCAGCGATCAAGTTGCACGTCACCACGATGGCACCCCAGACGCCGTATTCTAACCCGCAAGTTGTCTGGCGACCAGGCGGAAAGGGCGTATTCGTAAATGCAGACGATGGCGTGATCAGAGGGGTGGACACGCAGAGTGGAAAGGTTGTGGCCTTGCTCAGGGGCCACGAAGTTGGGAGTAAGGTTCGAACGCTGTGGGCTGGTGTTGAAGCTGCTGGAACAGCCGATGGGAGTAAGAACGATAATAGCAGGGAGATCTTGGTTAGTGGTGGATTTGATAAGAAGGTGTTCTTCTGGCGGGTCGAACATGAGAAGTAGATCTGGCTGTATGAGGCAAAGGATGGAGAAGCATAGTGGCATCATTAGAGCATGTGGACTGGAGAGATGTCATACTCTGCCTCAATTTCATGCTTCTCTCGTGACGGGTTTGGTCACAGGCTGCGTATCGTTAGTTCGACCATTTGGCAGCGATGCTCTCCGTCCTCGTCCCGCAGCCTCCTTCACTATCTCCTATCTCAACTTCACTGCGAGCACCTGACCTGCACCCAATCACAATCACATTCCGAAAATCATGGCATATATTTTTCGTCGGCCGAAATTGATATCACATTCAAATGGCAATACCAAGCAGTCATGTTTGTAGTAAGTCTCGTCCATCGTCTTGTCAACCTGCTCGAAAGAGCTCATCTGATCAAGCAATAAATGGGAGCATCGCATATCGCTGTGGTGATTGTTAGCAGTAAGCCTTGTCCACAGTCTTCATCAACTCCTCTCTGGCAGGGGCCTTCGACTGAAGCTATAAGTGGGAGCATCACATCATCTGAGCCTGGAATGAGTATCAAAAAAACACCTCATCGGAAGATGGCGGCGATTTTCTCAAAGAACTGAGTTTTTGCACCTTGTGCGCATGGTCGTTCTGTATATTTTTGCGGCTCTTAGCGTGCGTGGTGACAGTGAAGAAGGGGATAGGAGAGCTTAGCGGAGAGAGAGAGTCTGTCTGTAACAAGGTACTTGACCATTTTAGCAGAGAAGATATACTTGCTCTGCAGACAGATGGCTTTATAGCCTGTCAGAGCATGCACACTGGAATTGTACCTCGACCTGCCATAGTGAGCACTCTGTGCCATTGCTCACTCAGTCCACAGATTTCGGTAGGTACCATTCCTCGTTGTCGTGTCTTTTTATCCATTCGAACCCGCCACAGGTCAATAAAGGCAATTGCCTCGACATGGTCCGGTATATCGGTGATAACAAGCTGGGTGAAACTGAGGCTACATGGTCAAAGTCGGTAGCCAAAGCGTCGCGAAGGTCAATCGGTCGTGGTCATCTCAACGTGTGTAGCTCCCCGAAAGACTTTCCACACTGTGCCGAAGGAGGAATCGCCCCAAGCTTCAAATACTGAACTGGCATGGCATCTAATTGTGTCTACAATGGATGATGCTTTGTAGGGATCTGCTGCTCGACCGTGGGCACTCATGCCGGCTGGTGGCTGATGATTGATCGAACAAGAACGCACGTTCTGACGGTGTCAGGAGTCTCGCGTGCCATCCCTTGTCATTCAAATTGACTTTAAATGACGTCCAGCCACGGGCCCACGGGCCTCGGCCATCGAATCAATCTGGAGCACATGCTACTGTAGGTCCGCTGAAGTGGCCCTAGCCGGCGTGATTTGTGCATCACTATGCATTCGCGCATGTCTTCCATCTTCCGATGATGTGCTGTGTCCTTGGGAACGTGATCACGAAGAAGCCTCGTCGTGTCGCAACTCCTTCCCAATCTCCTTCGTGAAAGACCATGGCTGCTACAACAGAAGGTGAATTTGCCACAAGGGATGGCACCAAATTGTACACGAAGACTTGGAAGGTACGGAATACCCGGAAACATGTTTCCCACCCCTGACCATGATCGCCGTCTGGTCGTGGAATTCTTCGAGTCGCACACAGTCACTGAGCCGCATTCTAGCCCGAATCTGATGCTACTCAAGCTGTTCTGATATTCTTACATGGGTTTTCTGACCATATCAATGGTTCGGGCAATCATCGCACGCAGCTTACTCCTGGACTGACCTGTTTCAGCATATTACGACTTGTTTCCCACCTTGAGTTCCTCGCCATTCAACATCGCTGTGTACGGCTTCGATCAAAGAGGATGGGGACGCTCCTGCAAGAAACCTGCGGACCATGGACACACCGGACCAACGTCGCTTGTGATCTCAGACGTCCATGACTTCGTTCTCCACGTGGCGTCGCTACCGGAAGCACAGGGCAAGCCACTGTTTCTGATGGGCCACAGTATGGGTGGCGGAGAAGCACTCACATATATGCTGTCGACCTCTTTGGATTTCTCAAATCGACCTCCTATCTCAGGCCTCCTGCTTGAGTCGCCCTACATTGAGATGCATTCCTCTGGTCAGCCGTCCTTCGCAAAGGTTCAAGCGGGGAAACTGGCTTCCATGCTACTGCCACGCATGCAGCTCAAACAGAAGCTAGACGCGACATACATGTCTCGTTCGGAGAAAGTGCGTCGAGATTGGATTGACGATCCGCTTTGCCACGATACCGGCACGTTGGAAGGACTCAAGGGACTCCTGCAAAGATCAGCAGATCTCTCACACCTATCCCACGGTCGGCCGCTACATGGCTTTACTACAAAGCTCTCTTGCCCAGTTTGGATCTCATTCGGCACCGGAGACAGGGTTCTGTCTCACGTTGCTGCTCAGCAGCTGTTCAATGTCGTGGACGCGCCCAACAAGGATAAAACGTTAAAATTATATCCCGATGCATACCACAAACTCCATGCCGAGCCTGATGGAGTGGGTGAACAGTTTGCAAAGGCTGCTGGAGAGTGGATATTGGCGCATGTTGGGAAGCAGGCGGAAGAGGCTCAGGTTGGTGAACCCCAATCCGGTCAGAAGGCAGCCAGCGGCTCATAACCACCAGAAGTCCAAGCTGTGATAAGTGGGATGGAAGCCGATCACTAGGCGTCGTCAGTACGCGGGTCGATCAAACAGGAACCGATGGGGCGTGTTTCCGATCACGCGATTTCCTCTAATCTCTTGTCGGCCTTGAAGCCTGTTCAGGATCCATCGATACGACGTCTGAAGGGTGCGAGGCTTGTTCCTGCAGCTGACATCCAAACAAAACGCAATACCGCGTGATGTGCTGGTACCAATTTGTCTACAACGAATGACATCATACCGGCATCTTACTACATATAGTTAGAACATCTTGGCATCATCCTGATCCACACGGCTGCTGGATTTGCACCTTCCACGACCTTCAAACAACCATTGTCACTGTGCCGTCGTCTCTGAACGTCTCAGCATTTTCTGTTTGTTGTGTTTCAAACGAATCTTCTGGCAACTGCAAGGCTGCATTGGGTTTGCACTCATCAGAACGCTGTTTTTGATCAGTTCAGCCTTACGCGGTTTGTCTGTGATATAGTCCACCTGACCACAATCCAGTCGGCTGAGACAATCACCCATCCAGTCTTTGTGTCTTGGGACCTCTACAAAGAGCGTCTGCAATGTTCCAAGCTACATCACAATGCCCTTCTCGGGACTTGTGCCCCTTCTCGCGAATGACTATGCAGCCTGTAGAAGGCAGCCAATGCAGTCATTTGGCGGTTATGGCTGGTGATGTTGGCCTCGTCTTAGATTTCTTGATATCTCATGCTTGCTACTGAATAAAGCCTGCACGGTATGTACTGATGTTTTAGATGTTTCTTTTCGTATTCCATGCCATCGCAAGAGTTTCCAGCCTTTAAAGCATATGGTCTCGCACCAATATGCCGCCCCAGCGCGATTGCCATTGCAAGAACTGTTCCACCAATCCCAGCAAACGCGCAAAAGACCAAAAACCGCAACCACAAAGACAAACGGCCAAGGTGTTCAAGATCTCAGCCAGCGACATCTTTCCCGTCTTCAAGCTTCCCGCTCGCATCTTCACCAAAATCCCAATGCCGTCCTTCATTCGTATTGAGAAGTGTGACACCCCCAAACACTATGAGCGAGGGTGGACTTATGTTGAAACGCGACATGGGCGACTTGTCAAAGTGCGGAACAAGAAGGATGGTCATGATCTCCACCGTGGTGGTTGGATCAAGACAAAGCCGAGAGAAAGAATCGTGAAGGAAGTCCTCTTGGTCGAACGTGATGATGAACCCGAACACCGTGGACGACGAGTCGAGCCATGCGGAGGTCAAGTGTTCATCGATGTTGCTACGGGAGCCACGAAACGCAAAGGAAGTGAAGACTCGGACGGAGCACAGCCACCAGCACCCCGGCCTGGGATTCGAGTCCGTCGTCCTCTCAACGCACATTCACCATCACCCGGCCACTCGTACGAGCGAGTCAGGCCCGAGCGACGCCCAGCACGCGTGTTCGAGAAGATCCCTGTCCAGCAAGCCCGTCTTGAGCGTGTTAGGCCTGTTCAAGTCATGGAAGAAAGTACCTACTGTGACGACGACGAACATGACTATGTGTACGAAGAACAATATAAATTATTCGACATGGAAACAAGAGAGCCTCGGCCATACCACATACCGGAACCGGAGAATTCGTTCTGGGATGACGATCTGCAAGCTTGGATGGTCCAGCGGAAGCCACGAGTGCGATTTGAATGAGCTAGACAAGACGAGGGAAGCATTCGTACCAGCAGCACGACTGCAACTCGCCACCTGCGAAATCCACGAAGCTGTCCACATCAACACAATCTTTATCTTCCAGCGACAGGTGAATGGAGATTGTCGACTAGAGGCAGCCTCTCAACGGAAGGTCGGCCCTATGGACAAGTCGGATCTTTCATGACCGAATCGATCGTGTATGAGCAGAGGCATACGGGCAGAACGTTGCAGCATCGGCCTTTTCCAAAGCTACAGTTTGAGAGGTTTTGGCGCAGTGTTTCTCAGGACAGGTTACACTTCTGGGACAAGGCTTTGTCGAGGCCTGCTTTTGGAGTCATTGGACAAGCGGCCAGAAGCGACGCATGGGGCTGGGACAGCATAGTCTAATTGTTCATGGAATGGAAGAGTGGAAAGGGGACTTTCATTTGGTGAAAGGAATATGACAAGTATCAGGGCGTTAGAATACCAGCCTTTGTTTCTTCTTTCCTCGCTTTCTCCATGATATACGCGTTTCTCTCTCAGATACGCGCGCTCATTGTATCGGTACTCTGAACACACTCTCCTTCCCCTCAGCCATAATTTGACACGTTTGAATGACAAGCGTTTGCGCCCTACCTGCACCCTTGTCATTTCCTTCATCATGATTATGACATCGTCCCCTTGTCCGCTGCTCCTCAACCTATTTCGCACAACCCGAACAGTCTACCACCAGCGAGATAAGGCTACCACAATACCTACCTAGCTACACCCCCTGCGCCAAAAACTCATCCACGACAGCCCAAACCTCCCCCGGCCTCTCCACCCAACTCATATGCCCACACTCCTCTACAACGACCAACCTGGACCGGGACACCCCTGCCGCAATTCGCGCACTCACCTCCGGCCCCGCCACTCTGTCCCCTCGCCCTGTGAGCACCAGCGTCGCGGCGGCCACATTGCCCAACTCATCAACCTGCTTCCACCTGGCATTCCCATCCCCAGGAGCGCCTTCGCCTGGCTGGGATGCCGAATCCGCCGCATAATACGCCCCGTAAGCCCACAGGGAGGGATTCCCCGTCCAGAGGCTCGCGAGTCTCTCGAGGCCGCCTCCACGCTCCGGGTGTGCGAAGTACAAGGGCATGATTTGGAGCATGAAGGCGCGGAAGGCCTCATCTGTGGTCGGCGGATTGGCAGCGAAGTGGCCTAGGACTTCGTGGAAGAAGGATACGTCCGTCCGCGGGAAGCCGAGGAGGTCGGAGTTTAGCAGGACGAGGCGCTCGACGCGCGTGGGGTAGGCGATCGCATACCCTAACACGATGGTGCCGCCGGCGGAGTGGCCCATCAGGGCGGGGAACTTGTCCAGGCCGAGATGGGCGCGCAGGGCTTCGAGGTCCGAGACGATATGGCGGGACGACATCTCTTCGGCCCAGGCTGGGCGGTCGGAGTCGTCGTTCCCGCGGGGAGAGGGGATGATCACGGTGTATTTCGAGGCGAGGCGTGCGAAGGTGTTGATGTATAGTTCGGCGCCGATGCCCCAGGGCGGTGGGTGCACGAGGATGGGTGGGAGGTCTGGGGAGTCGGCGAGGATGGTGTAGTGGATTTTCAGGCCGTTCAAGATTGCTGTGTGTTTCCCAGGGGTTACTGTAGAGGAAGACATGATTGCAGGTAAGGATGGATAAGGAGTTGTTTGACTGAGAGTTGAAAGGGGAAAGAGCAAGATGAGTAGCTGGTGTGAAGTTTTCCAGGATGAGGCTTTCGTGATATTTCCCAGGTTAGAATACAAAGAGCTGTGGATCGGTAGAGAACCTGGTCTGCAGTATGCTGTATGCGCTATGCTTCATACACCATTTAGGCGAGCGCTCGGCGAGATGCCAAAGTAATTGCGGATCCCGCGTTGCAGCCTTCAGCCGTGTTTTGTCATCCGCTCAAGCCAGATGCACGTAAGCCACCAACCATGACACGGGGCATTCCCGCCTCCTGACTCCGTGGAGTCTGCCATTGGAACTCCATCCAAATAGTAAGTCTGACCATCTATTCCTGCATGCATTGTCACAAGCGGGAAATGGATGAGGCTGCCGGTTGCCTTGTTCCTGCAGGAGCGTAACATCCAAGGCGAATTCCAAGCCAAAGAACAGTGGGATTAGTTGCCTCGATTTAGTCATTTGTTGACATAAAATCTGGGCCGGAAAGGATTTGGAGGCCTCGAGACATACGCGGTGTTGCCATTACATGACATCGTGCCTGAGGAGGCTCTTGCTGCAGAAGCACGCCATAGGAAACAACGTGGACTGACACGCGTTGGATCGACGCCGCGCCCGGAATGAGCGTCACAAGACTTCTGCAGATTATTCCGATTCGAACATTTTCTCGCGCTTTGCCGCCATCAATCGGTAGATCATGGTATTGTCCATTCAGTCGTAGAGTACGTTGCCTCGCAGTCGGGCTTGATCTAGGAAGAGGTGGCATGGGAAGATCATAGTAATTCCTCACACGTCCAGTCTTCATACCTTGCCCAGAGTCAGCGACACTCCCAGCAACGTGCAAAGGATAACTCACCATCCGTCAGGCAAGTAGCGGCGGACAATCAAGGGCATCTTCTTTTGGTTCAGTTCCAGGATCGCCATAGCTAGAGGATCAGTCTCGTTCGACACGTCGACCATAGGGGGAGCATTCATGCTGGTGGCAGTCAGTCTTCTGCTGTCACTAATACAGGATTTCCTGCTCGTTACCTGAGCTGCAGTGCCCTAGTCCCGAGTACTCTGGCGCGCTCGTATTTTGTCATGTAGGGGGTCGTCGTTCTCTTTTCATCGGGAATTTTCTTATCGGCATCGCTTGAAGGCTTCTGACCGGTCTGATTTGGGTCTCCAGATGTCACAACGGTTTTCTCCCCACTCTCTTCTGCCTGGTCTCTCGCTCTCTCCTCTAGGGCATCCTGATCAACGTCTGCATCTGGAGGGAGTTCTTCGTCGAGGTCTTCTTCGGGCTCGTAGAAAGTATCATCCGGTTCGTCATTGCCGTAGCTGAACGGAGGAATTTGTCAGTAGCAAGCGAAGGACAATTGATAGAAAAAGGCTGTAGACAAGAGTGTAGCACCTACCCGCCTTCGTCACCACCGTAGTCAGACATTGTGACAATTCAGTGAGAACAGAACCACACGACTATGGAAGAGGGTGACTCTCTCGATTTGAGGACGACAAGGTGGGATGCGCATGTTAGTTTCCTCGCGAGTGACCAAAATTCCTGGGGCAGCCTCAGCCTTGCGACACGTGACCCACTTTCGGAACCCAGCCTCGTCAAACGCACGAGAAAAATCCACTTGCGCGACCCCACACTTTCTCATTTGCTACCACCAATTGCACCCCACGTATTACTGTCACGACAGGTTTGTTTTTGACGGTTTGACGGTAGACAAGCTCGGCGCGGGTGCGCAACCGTCGTCAAGATGAGGGTCATGGACTCTGATGACGAGTTGGACAAGGACTATGACATGCTCGACTCTGACATCGACGACGGTGAACTGAAGAAATCTGCCTCCGACACGCCCGCCTCTACCGCTCCCTCTTCTCCCCCTCTCAACGCCTCCGACAAGCTTCCACGCAGTCGCCAGAGAATCCACCCGTGCACCTTTGAGAACTGCGACAAGGTGTTTGATCGCAAAGCGAGGTTAGAAGATCACATTCGTTCTCACAACAATGAGCGCAACTTTAAGTGCCCGCATGCGCCATGCACCAAGTCCTTCCTCCGCAACAGCCACCTGAAGCACCATATCAAGAATCAGCATAGTCATATTCGTGACTACAAATGCACATGGGAAGGATGTGAGGCAAGCTTTACAACAGGGACAAGACTACGCCGCCACATCGTGACCCATGAGGTAAAGGAACAGTTCAGATGCCGCGGTTATGCCGGCTGTGACCAGACCTTCCGTAAACAAGAAACTCTGGACCGCCATGTCTCGACGGCTCATCAGGGCATCAAACCCTTTCCTTGCAAGACATTGGATCCTCTCACTGGTGCAGCTTGCAACAAAGCCTACGACACGGCGGAGAACCTGCGCACCCATGTCCGCGCGAAGCATGACATCACCCGCTTCTCCTGTGAAGAGTGCAAATCGTTGAATGCGGCGATTCTTGCAAACTCGGAAGGTCAAGATGACCGGGAGCCACGCGAGGCGCACTTCGCAACTTACGCACTGTTCCAAAGTCACAACGCCAAATATCATCCGCCAGAGTGCCAATATTGTCCAACCTCGTTCGTCACCAGCAAGGAATTGACCCGTCACTTAGAACTTCAACACGGCATCCTGCCAGAGAAGAAGCTTGAACATGGCTCAGTTTTTACATGCAACGCCGAAGGTTGTGGCAAGAAGTTCACCAAGAGAGGCAACCTGAATGTCCACGTTAAGACAGTTCACGAGAACAAGCGCGACTTTGTCTGCGGCAAGACTCCTGTCCCCGTGCCATCCGATATCACAGGTCGTGGAGATGTTGCCGTGTATGGCTGTGGGCGCAGTTTCACCAGCAAGGCCAGTCTGGAGGAGCACATCCGGACCGCGCATTTGGAGCTTGCGTCGAAGCGCTTTCTCCGCGAGAACAAGCGCAAAGCCGATGCTCCTACTTCTGAAGAGGGCGGCCAGCTCAAGAAGAAGCAGCGCAAGCCTCGCTCTGACAAGGGAATTCCTCGCGGCTCTGCCATTGCAGGTCTCACTGGTTCCAATGTGCCCACCACTCCTACCGTGCAAGAAGGCCCGTTCCCCTTCGGGTTTGGAGACGAACTCATTTCACATATGGACGCTGACTCATCAACACTGCACGAGCTTGAAAAGGCTACCCGCCTACGAGCAGACAAAGGCAAGGCGCTGGACAAGAGTAATAGTACCATCCTCTCCGCGTCGATGACCATCTGCGGCGACGAGATCTATTCTCAGGGCAATGCTTACCACTATCCTTCTGGCGAATACCCGACCTTACTGTCGCGTGACCTTGAGCGCACGACTGTCCACGACGATGTCACCACAGAAGACGCCATCTGCACCAGTCCTTCCAGCAACTTCGGCGTCACCGCGGTGGATGAGTACGAGGATGTTGATTTCTTCGGGCAGTTCGAGCAGGAAGAGCGCGAGCTCGAGTTGGCGAATCGGCATCCTGGATCTGTGTATCCTGCGCTCTGAAGCCCCGTCCTTGAGGCACATTGACACGAATGTACATACGTGATAGCGTGATACGCATAGCAAGCGTCGGCGTTGGGGAGCTGGCTTAGTCTAGGAAAAGTCACAGCTGAACGTGACCGGAAAAGTGAGACTTGGGTGAGATCAAAGCACGTTGTCAACCGGAGATAAAAGACAAGAAATCATATCAAAACACCCTTTCTTGATCGATCACTGTTCCCTTACCTGCCGACCACCTTCTGCATTGTGCTCCCAATCTCATCCCATCACACGTTGGATACTTGCCGAAACTTGATTTTCACCCTGCGATTCGCACCTACGACGATACTTCACTTGCTGTTCGCCCATATGTCCCCAGATTCGAGTCAGATTGACGCCAAAGCCAGTAGCTCAGTGTCAAGACGCCTGCGCTCTTTCAACATTGAGGACTCGGAAGTCATTCGGCTCTCGTTACACCGGACTGCGGAACCTCGCAGTCTGGCGACAATAATACTTGTACTCCGTAGTTAGTGCCGAAAAGCACCGAAGCGACCATATCCGGCCATGTTCCGTTATCGGGCACTGATTGTGCCTTCCGGACGGGTAGCGTCGTCATTAGACAGGCACAAGCGCACTGCACCTGCCATGGAAAGCAAGGTTTCGAGAGCTGCAGCTGCACGCCAGCCGTCACGATACAGAAGCACATGCTCCACGCTCTCTTCGTCTGCATCACCATACTGCGCTCGTGGCTACCCCGTTCCTACCTAGGTACGTTCTACCACAATACATACTGGTGATATCGCGCGTTGAATGACGATTCTGCAGATGGTGACGGCTGTCATTAACGGGCCGTTACAGGTCCACGCGTCTTCTGGTCTCTGAAGACTTGGCAGCCTTAGCTCCTGGCCCCTGCGGATTTCTGACTGGATCACCGGCTCCAGAAACAGTGTCCGCCGCAATATCTTTGGCGAGGAGGTGGCGTTGCGGCGCTCTTGGCCCCGGTTCCTGCTTGCCGCTTGATTGGGCTTCGTCCAGTGGCCCACCACATGGAGCTGCACTGCAGCGGGCGACAATCCTGGCACTTGCATGTTGGATCGCCCCAATCTTCTGGCAAAAGATTGTCGCTGGGTTGCATGGAATACTCCTTAAAACACACGATCGCTGCTTTACTGCCGAAAACGTGCATGGCTTTTGGAGGCTCAATTGGTATGTCCAGAAATTACCTGCCATTCTGAAAATCTGATAGCCCCAGGAGTTGGGAGCGTCGTTGCAGCGCGCTCCTGTGTTTGACTTCTCGTATCCTCACCGGCCGCCGTGGCCTTCGCCCCTCCGCATATGCAACAGCTTGCATCAAAGCCTTCCGAGATTTCTTTCAGTGCAATCACATCTTTGCTCAACCCTCCTTCTTTACACGGCGTTACTACGGAGTACACTGCCTTCTAGCTCTCCTTATCTCTTGGCAAACGCTCAAATCTCATCTTGAGCTCCGCCTGAACCGCCAGCCTGTCTCTCGTCTCGAGGACATAACTCGTTGTCGCCACCAGCTGTCACTTGTCCTGTCGCTACGGAAGCTCGTTATTTTTACGGCATCTACCATGGCGTCCGGCATCCCATATACTCCTAAGCCGGCGACTGATATCTTCACTCCTTACCAAACCGATATCGACCGACGGCAATGCAAGAGAATAGTGCCTATGAGAGTGCTTGCGCTCGGCCTGGGAAGAACAGGTACGGCCTCGTTAAGAGCAGCGCTCAAAGAGCTGGGTTATACAGACACGTACCACATGATGTCCGCTAGTGTTGAGAACCCGCCTGACTGCCTCTGCTGGATGGACGCCTTTGCTGCAAAATTTGAAGGCAAAGGCAAATTCGGACGCGAAGAGTGGGATGCTCTGTTTGGGCATTGTCAGGCGGTCTGCGACTGGCCGGCCGTTGCGTTTGCTAAAGAGTTGATTGAGGCGTATCCCGAGGCCAAAGTCATCATCACCACAAGGGACGTCGATTCATGGCATAACTCGGTCATGAAGACGGTGAACTGGCGTGCGAACGATCCCGAGTTGAAAGCAGTCGCAAACTTCGACTGGGCTGCCGGCCTGTACCACCCTATGCTGCGCAAATTCTGGAAATACTTCTTCTACGACGATTTCGAGAACCGAGGGAAGGAGAGGTTTCACGACTACTACAAGGAGATTCGAGAGCTTGTTCCACCAGGAAAGCTGCTTGAGTACCGCGTGAGTTCTGGCTGGCGACCTCTGTGCGAGTATCTCGGTGAACCCGTACCGGACAAGCCATTCCCAAGGTCCAATGACGCGGAGAACTTTGTGCAACGATGCAGGACACAAAATCGCAAGCAGATGATGAACGTTATCTTCCGGGCTCTCATCGTGGGAGTGCCAGTTGTTGCGACGGCGCTATCGGCGACATTTGCCTACACACACTATCTACCAAAGTTTGCGCAGAGCACTCCTGTTTGGACTGGAGCATCGTGACCACAGGAGGGCGAGGTCCCCTTGTGTATCCGTTTGGCTGTTCACTTCTACACACAGCCTGGTGTCTGGGATTTTGTCCAACTGCCGGTTTGGATGTTAATGTCATCGGAGTCCTGCGACTTTACTGTTGATAATGGTTTGGGGAGTGGTTGGGTAAAAAATTGTCTGGCAAGCTGGAGTGTTGTATACCTGCTACATAATAGAAAGTATTGGGTGCTGCCAACAGCATGTATTATCTGGCAGTCACTTTGCCTGAACATGTGTGCGGCGATTGTCCATAGTTCGTACTTGCAATTGACACGATTTGCAAACGCCTTTCCAGCCACGTAACCAAGGCATGTGTCTCACCCGAAGTGCATCTGCGAAGCGATAAGATGTGCTAGCGCGGTGGCCGTTGCTATCGCATCCACGCGGCCAGCAGTATCTTGGTACGTTAACGGTACTCGGACTATCTCTGAATACTGTGTGCTAAAACTTTGATCTGCACTGACTTCCTGTCATTGGTAAGTATCATGGCGGTCCAGAGCTACTACTGTGTGCTTCCACAGCACTATGCCGCCAATACTCGGTTAGTCTCTTGGCACGGATGTCGGTCGGCATCGCTGCTCTCGGAGTCATTTCAAGCATTTCGCCCGAAGTGGCGGAAGGCTGGGGCGGCAAAGGTGGGAAGCGCATAAGAGCCGTACGCGATATCCACAAGGCCGGGGGCGAGCATCCCTTCATATCTCTTGCATCTCTCGTGTCACTTTTCAGGCCGGGCAGGCGCTGACATCCATGGATAATCAGATTCTGCAGCGCTGAGACTGAATATACACGCTCGCCACAGTGAAGTACGAGTGATTCCCAGCGAGAACCCAGGAATCAGCCCCCGAGCCGCTTCAGGTAGATTTCAGCCGCCGGAAGAGCATCGCGTGCCTCCTTACGCGTCTTGGCGGAAATCCCGACGAGACCCTTCCTGATCGGCCTTGAGTCTGCTAGGGTTCAGTGGTTCGGTAATGGTACTCTGGCAAGGCGCTGTACGGTCGACGTCTTGATTTTTCAGGACCATCTCGCTACCTTCCTGGTTCTTGACTGAAGCGGGAACGGCAAAGGGGGATGCGATGAGGCTCTCACTCTCCTTGTCCAGCTGGCTGGTCTGTCTCTTTGCTTGGAGGATAGCCGCCGATAACAACACGCAACCCATCTCCATCTTTCGATCGGTAGGCACTTACCTTCCTATTTGATCTGATGCACTTTCGTTGACATGGGCTTGAATACAGAGACCTGACTTATCCGCTCCCATTTTGAGCGTGTTCCGACACCAGCGAGAAAAGCTTGCACCAGGCTACTATTTCGTTGCGCCCTATCAGTCCACAAACGAAGCCATTCACATCTACGACAATGACGCGGTAAAAGCTTACTACGCTCCAACAAGTATGTCCTTTGTAGCTGACCTCAATGCAGAACTTGGTTTACTCGGGCTTTGGTAGCGCTGGACCCGGCGTTTCCCATGCTCCCCAGACATGCATGTACAAAGGCGAGGTCCACCTCTGCTTCTACCAAGGCGTGCAGATGCTCGGCTGGGGCCATGGTCACGGCCTCATAATGGACAAACACTACCGCATCGTCAAATCCGTCGAGCCTGGTAGCTACCAGGCTTCGTCCGACATGCATGAGTTTAGACTCATCAACGACGGGAGACAAGCACTGCTGACACAGTATCTCCGCAGCGTGTACGACCTGTGTCCGTGGGATCTGTGTGACGGCCTAGGGTACATTCAGCAAGGAGCGTTCCAGGAAGTCGACGTCGACACAGGGGATGTCCTTTTCGAATGGCATAGTCTCGATCATGTCGACGCGCACGAGAGCTGGGTTCCGCCGGGTACCACTGAGATCAGTGGGAGTGGTGAACACCCAGAAAGTCCGTGGGACTACTTCCACATCAACTCGATCGACAAGAATCAGTTCGGCGATTACCTCATCTCGGCACGACACACTTCTGCCCTGTACAAGCTCTCTGGCGTCGACGGGCATGTCATCTGGCGGCTCAATGGCGCCAAGTCGGACTATGTCCTTGACGGGTTTCATTTCTCCTCCCAGCACGATGCCAGGTTCATCTCCGACAACGAAACACATACAGTCCTGTCCCTGTTCGACAACGGCACTAATGGCTTCAACCAGACACAGCCTCATTCCACCGGCCAGATCATTGTCGTTGACCACACGACGAAAGTCGCGACCGCGATTTTGAATCTTGATCCCCCGTTCGTCGATGGACACGCACATATCTCGAAATCTCAGGGGAGCATGCAGATCCTGCCGAATGGAGGTATCCTCATGGGCTGGGGCAACGATGCCTTCTGGACCGAGTACGCCCCGGGGACGCACGAGATCATCTTCTACGGAGCCCTGGCGTGGACGAACACGATGAACTACCGGGTCCACAAGTTCGACAACTGGGTCGGCATGCCACTCACCAAACCCGCCATCTGGACTTTCTCGAAAGAGGGAGGAGAAATGATGATGTACGTCTCCTGGAACGGCGCGACCGAGGTGAAATCCTGGCGGTTCTATGGTGGAGATTCGAAGCAGGGTCCGTGGGAGGAACTCGGGCAAGTTCCTAAGAGGGGGTTCGAGTCCTTCTACAGACACCCTACGACACACACCTACAACTACGCGGAGGCATTGGATAAGGATGGCCACGTCCTGGGCACTTCGGCCGTGGAAAAGACTTTCATTCCCAATGCCCAGTTGAAGGAGTATTGCGACGACATCGCCTGCCGGTTCATGCCCAGTCCGCAACAGAGACAGAAGGAGAAGGAGGAAGCTGAGAATGCCAGGTTGGGGCTGGATGTGCCCGACGTGCCGGACGAGCAGGATAAACTCGAGGCTGAAAGGCAGCGCGCCGAGCAGATCAAGAACGCCGAAATCTACGGTGGCACGTTCGGCGGCTTGGTCGTCCTGATCATCCTGATCATCGTGCTGGCCACCAGGAATGTCGTGTCCCGGCCCGTGCATGCGTTGGCCTACAACTTTTACAGGGCTATCAGCAGACGGAGCACACGAGGAAGCGACCTCGGCATCGGTGCAGGATACAAGGCTTTGGCCTTGGAAGAGCAGGATGGTGATAGGGCTCCTATGATCAGGGACCCTTCGTAACGTCAGCAACCCGGATTGGCACTGCTATATTAGCGTGAGCATGAGCATGAGCATTGGGTGTTGTGACGATATGTTTGATGTGTTTGAACAGCTATATACCATCGCTTAATCTCTCCAGCATTTCGGCAGTCAATGAATGATGTGACGACCACTCCGGTCAGTGTCTTCAACCTCCGCTACAAACGGAATGCCGGTACTACGGTATATGCTTAGGCACACGAGGCACATGAGGCTACAATACTGCGTAGGTGAAGACCCAAAGGATGATTAGTGCATTCGGCACTCCGTGCAGAGCCAAGGCCCCCGGACTTCCAAGCCACGAAACCGACGCGAGAACAAATCCCATGTCATTACAAGGACTCCGCGCGTATGATTCCAAGGTCCCTCCGCTTGAATCATGCTTAATCGGATAAAAGGCCAGCTCGACGACGTCACCGTGCTAAGGGCAAACGAGAGGCCATGCCGATTAACCGGAGCCTGCCACTTGTGCCACTTTCCTGCGAGACTGCCTACCTGCGTACCTCGTACGAGGGCACGGTACGAGTGCGTCCGTACTGGGGTATGTGGTCGCTCGGAATGAGATCTGACTGCTCGATAGGGCTCGCTCGAATGGGCATTCGACTGAGCAAGGAACAAGGCCACATGGCCGCCCACGCGTCGCCGATTCAAGGATTGGCGTGATCCTCGTAAGAGCAGCAGGTTATCAAAATTAAAGTGCCACAACCGAGATGCCGCCTGTCGCAAGGTCCAAGAATATCAGTCGTCAGTGAGTCTCTGGAAGGATTTGAGGCCCGCGAGGGCCCGTCAGGACGATCAGTGTTTTGTGGCCCTTACAGCCCTTTGCTGCAGCGTAGCACAGTATCGGGAAGCGGCATTTGGCAGGAACATTGTGTGTACACAGGCAGGACCACCGTCAATGATGAGGATACACACTCGACGCGTACGTAGGCTTTTTGCAGCGATGAACCTGGTAGCCATCGGGTCGCATCGCGAATCCCGGCAGATGGGAGCCCTGGGACGAGGCTGGCTATACGAGGTAGAAAATGCTTGTCTCCAGCCTCTCATCAAACGGGGTCTCTCCTGTATCACGGAAGAAATTCCCACAGCAGGAGGCGAAAATAAAGGGGGATATACTCCGTCCTTGGGCAGAGCTGGATGGTGTAGCCTCTGCGCGAGTGGCTGCCACGATCCCAAACTCCACCAGGATCTGATCCTGCCTTCAATCTCTGAGAAAGTGCAGGCCATCGAATGAGAGATTCGTTTCCCCAGATGTAAAGAATGTCCTTCCGGCTCAAGAAGATTGCGATATACGCGGTACGCCCTTGCACGAGCACGCAGAATAAATGAGACACGTTATATCAGGCCTCTGGCAACCCTTTTCCTGCTTGCAACTCGCCATCTAATTATGGTGATCTCGCTTGATTCTCGACTCCCAAGCTCGAGCGATGATCGGAAGACTAAAATACCTTTTGGCAGGGCGCCCCATGCAAGCGCCTTGTCGAGCTGCGGCCACTTCGCCTGGAAGAGAATGGTGGCCATGCTGGCAACGCCTCCTTCAGCAGTCATTAGCCTCCACACTTTCCCGACAGCCGGGGGATCCAGGTGAAAAAGCCAAAGACCTTGATTTTGGTGGGCCTCGCCGATGCAACTTGGCTCTGCAAGTCCATGCCCGCTTGTGGTTGACTTTTACGGAGTCCTTCGTTTGTTCCTCGATGCCGTTGTTGGAGAGCCGCGGATGACGCCCCATTTCCCAGCAGTCTTATCGGATCTCCTCCTCTTTCTTGGTGTTCACTGTTCAACGCAGCTGACTAGGTACAGCTCTGGTTGCGAGAGACCTCCTCATCCTACGCTCGCCTTGTCGTCTCTCTGTACGAGCACTTGACTGTCGCTTGTATACGCCCGGATCCTCTCGAAGACTCTCGCTATCCCCATACCGAAGCTTGCAGAGCTTTCGTCGACAAACAGCCTCACCACACGCGGCGACCCCACATTCTGCGAGAGCCGTCCCGTCGACCGAGTCTACCATGAGCACATACACAAGCACATACGAGGAATCAGCGCGGTGACATTGGCACATAAAACACCACACTTAATATACAATGGCTCGACACGACGTTGAGACCAGGCCAGGCAGGCCACCTCCACCGCCATCATGGGCATCGATTCCCAACAAGTTCCAACTGTTCATAATATGTTCGGTGCGGGTAGTCGATTTCTTCCAGCAAGCCGCGTTGCAAGCATACATGTACTACCAACTGAAGTCTTTTTCACCCTCAGCCCCGGACAGCCAAATATCGTTCGAGGCCGGCGTGCTACAGGGTGTCTTTACACTCGCCCAAGTCTTCACAGGCATCCTGTGGGGTCGAGTGGCAGACTCGCCTAGGTTTGGAAGAAAGGGTGTTCTGCTTATGTGCTTGGTCGGACAGGGCATGAGTTGCGTGGGCGTGGCATTCTCGAGGAGTTTCACAGCTGCGGCCATCTGGAGATGTCTGGGCGGTGCCGTCAATGCGACCGTCGGAGGAGCAAGAACGGCTCTGGCGGAGAGCACGGAAAAGAAATACCATTCCAGGACATTCCTGTTGCTACCCTTGGCATGGAACGTTGCCAATATCTTTGGTCCTTTGTTCGGCGGTCTGCTCTCCGATCCAGTGCAGAATTATCCCGCCCTGTTCGGGGAGAATTCAACCTTTGGCGGAGCGCATGGCGTCTCATGGCTGACAACGTTCCCTTATGCCCCACCGAATCTGTTCTGCGCGTTGGTTCTGTTTGCAGACGCCTTGCTCGTGTGGATGGGCCTGCGGGAGACGTTGGCGGCGAAGAGATACGACCGCGATCGAGGCATTGAGTTCGCCGAAAACCTCACGTACCGCGTCCGCCACATGATCTTCCGACGTTTCGGCTACAGCCAGCTGAGGCAAGCAGACGCGCCGGCCGGACCCGACACATTGGACGATGAGAATCTCCCTTCGAGTCTACCGATGACTCCCCTGCCACCCAAGGAAGTGGACAATTCAAATTCCGCCGAAACGTCGTCAAAGGTTCCCCCGCGACCGTCTGAAGCTCCCAAGTCCGCACCTCCCTTTTACCATGCCATCACGTCGAACGTTCTTCTTGTGTTGGCGACCGTTGCGGTCATGGATTTTCAGATGGGCGGCTTCGCTTCACTGTGGACCATCTTCCTCTCCTCCGCTCGAGCCACGGACGAGCAAAAATCCACGGTCCGCCTACCATTTGTGTTCACGGGTGGCTTGCAATTCAGCCTGCCGACCATCGGCCTCGCCATGTCGATTCTGGGATTCGTCGGAATCATCCTGCAATTGACACTCTACCCTAGTATTAACGCACGCTTCGGCCTCCTCCGCTCAACGCGGTGGTCTCTGTTCGTGTTCCCCATCGCATACGCCCTGGCGCCTTACCTCTCCCTCCTGATCTCGCATCCATTCATCCTCTGGATCGGCATCGTCGTGGTGGTGGTACTCCAAGTCGCGGCCAGGACGTTCGCCATTCCAGGCTCGGTGTTGCTCATCAACAACTCGAGTCCCAGTCCCGCCATGCTGGGTACGATTCACGGCATGGGGGCCGCCACTTCATCCGCGTTCAGGACAGTTGGACCCATCGTCGCGGGCCACTGGTATGGACAGGGTCTAGAGAAAGGCGTCGTAGGCTGGGCGTGGTGGTGGCTGGCTTTTGTGAGCGTGTTTGGTGTGATACCCAGCTTTTGGGCGAAAGATGGGAGGTGATCATAGATCCAGCTTGCTCTTCTGTATATCTGGCCGCAGGATCTGGGTGTTAATGTTGATGCGCATGGCGTCGCGGATGGTGAGAGCGCTACGGGCAATACAACCCCGAGCCGTGTTCATCTTGCACATATACAACACATCACATACCTACATTTATATATAATCCAGCACAGCTACAAAGGATAGAATGGCGCCATAACTAATGTACTCACAAATTGTGAACGTCTTGGCTAAAATGGCGTGCGTGCGTTACACCCCCGTTATGCATGCTCGAGGAGAGCACGCCATCGAGGTATTGTATCCAAGCCTTGCCTCGCGTGATCAATGTTCTTGCAGGGTCATGCTGCTGTTGAGCCACGCCATACCGCGGTGTACAACATACACGCAACGCTAAACACGGTGCTTAGTTGGGTGGAGGATGGAGAGTAGATCATCGCGTGCCTGTACGGAGTACAATGCTTGAACGACCATGATCGACTCAAGTGATACCAGGACCGCACCGCATCGCCCGCCCGCCCGCCAGATACTATGCTGTGTAAGGTGTCTTTGCTGGGAAGGGACTGCTAATGTTGATTGCATATCTATAGGTACGTCCTGTGTATGCACCGGTGTGAATGCAATCCGCGACCTAAGAAATGACCGGAAAAGAGAGGCGAGCGTGATGCGACGGCGAGAGATATGGAGAGACAGAGAGACAGGAAGAGGAAATAGAAGAACTTAATCACCCAGTCACGAACCCCGTACATATGGAGTATGTCCTCGCTGTCGTGTCTTGCACATCTATACGTGAAGGAACGAAAGAGGCGGCCCTTGGAGGATGAGTCTTGAGCTCGCCATAAAGTGAGGTCCCGAGAACTTACCCTTCTAACAGTATGTGCTCCGTACATAGCGAGTACTTCCACCGTGACCGAGGCACTAAGGGGAGCTGGGGCCACCTAAGGGGGTCAAAGAGTTGGTTGCCAAGGTTGCTTAGACACGATCCGACGAGCTACTGTACCCCATACATTCTGCCGCCGAAGCTGGGTGCTCAAGCTGAAGCTCAAGCTGAAGCAATGGCGCTGTCGTTCCAACGGCTACACAGTGATTACGCGAATCTTGAGCGTCAAACAAATGTAAAATGAGATCGGCGAGTTTGACATCCTCGCCGAGTTGGGCTTTAGATCTAGCTTGCGGCTCCGTACTAGCATTGGTACGGAGTGCTTGTGTTTCTTGTTGACGGTAGGTGGAGCTTATGGAAGCTTGGTGGGGGAAGGGGGGAGGGTTTGGGCTTCAGGCTTGCAGACTCGGAAACACCGATGCGTGCGTGCGTGCGTGCGTGCGTGCGTGCGTGCGTGCGTGCGTGCGCGAATTTTCTGCGCAATGATGGTCAGCACCGCACCTACTGCAGCCTCGCATGTCCATTCTGGATGCAGGAATAGCCGGGCGCGGAGATTCCTGTCGGCTTCAGGACTGCTGGTACGAGTACCGTTCGAGATTATTGTCTCCCGCAGCCTCGTCCCGGCCAAGACCTGACACCCGCCCTGTCTCAACGACACACAAGCGAGTGCCACCATGACTGCACGATCGCACGTGGACATGGCGTGCGACAACGACCTGCCTTGGCGGTTCTATACCACACGCTTTGCATGGGATGGCTTGTTTGGAAGTACTCCGTATGCAGACTGGGAAGCTACCTTCGGCACAGCGATGGCTGGGAAGTGGTGAGTGAAAGGTTGTATAAAACATCTGGACCTGCTGTCCTGGCATTTGTCTTTGCTACACACAGCACCTCCTTCTTTCAATTCAACTTCGCTACACTCCCTCACTACAGCTGGTCTGTAGATTTCCGTTCTTTGCGCTTGTCTTTAGAATTACGAAACATTCATTCACTTGATCTTCATTCACTTGCATCTCGTTCGGTTCAACAACCGCTCCAAAATGCGTTTCTCCACCACCACCGTTCTCTTCGCCATCGTCGCTCTCTCCGCGGCCGGTCCCGTGGCGCTCAAGAAGAAGCAGGCCAGCGTCCTCACCGCCAGACCGTACAGCCAGTTCCAGATCTCGGACGGAGTGGCAGGAAATGCGCTCGCCGAAGTCAATGCCGCCTTCCCCGTAGGATTGCCCTTCACGACGCACGCTGGTTATACACGTTACTGACATGCCGCCGCAGATCGACACGTCCGACCTGGCCTCGGTCTCGGAGGATGATCTCCAAATCATCAAGGACGCACGCGAGACGGCCGAAGACGCCGAGACCGGCACGGGAGGCTTCAATGACGAACTTGACGCCGCGTCGGGAGACACCACAGCTCTGCAGAACGGCAAGATCAAGAACAAAGTCCTCAAATTGCAGCTGGAGGTGTTGGCCCTGCAGATCGAGGCCGCGCAGGGGGATGCCGACCAGGACAAGATCGACGAGGAGATGACCAAGCTGAACAAGAATATCGCGCTGGATGAGGAGGCCGCGGGCCAGGATAGCGTGGGCGTTTCGGATACGTTCGCTGGGTAGACGTGGTGGCACCGTGTGTATGCCGATCGAAGGGAAGGAAGTATAGAGGGGTATGATGGGTTGTACGGATACTCTCTCACAGCGGGAGAGCGGGTGTAGACCAGCTCGCCAGTATCGCCTGGCAGGAAGGGCCGTGGTACGTATGAAAAGTGCCACGCGAAAGCATTGGACACCCTGGGCGTATGTACTATGATGTTCTCATCCCAGGGACAATAACGATGAAATTCCCAACGTATGACTGTACACAGTTTGTACATACTGTATTAGCCATGCTTGCCCGCCCGAGCCCTGTTCTCTGCTCGCCCAGAGGTTGTAGTTAGACGCCCCCCGACTCCCGGATGGCAGCGCAAGGATTGAAGCGTGGATAAATATATATATGCCGAGACTTCGATCGAATGGCAAGTGCATGCACCGGGTGCCTGTATTTCACCCGACCAGATGAGACTCGAGTCCTCCGTACTCGATGATCAGACTTGGAAAGTTCAGCTCCAGCGTCCTCAAGCGGGTGCCAGGCGCGATACGTCGACGCTTCAAAGTGAATGCAAATAATTACCCTATATACCGTGACTGCCGCATTAACGGACCTCTATATCATCGTTAGACATGAACTGAGTCACCAAATCAACCATCTCTCGAGGCATGGTCATTCATGAAGTGGTGCGTTCGACCATGGGAATCTGCCCAGCCCGGTGGCGTGGCGTTAGACAACGGAGCACATCATCGATTGGACTTTCTATTCTCGTGGGCTCGCTGATCTGACACTGTGATAAAGGGGGATCACTGAATCTTTTTCCTTTTCAGAATGTAGAGGTGCGAGGTACGGTGTGCCTGTCCGCTCGACGCCGATGGAACTACATAGTTACCTCTGGTGGGTGAATTGATACTTTTTCGGTGTTAACTTGCTTTTGAGGATTGTGTGGCACAGTAGTTTATAAGTGAAGAAGGGTCACCTAATTAAGGGTACTGTACTGACTAAGCCCCGTTCCCATTGACCGTTCGCTACAAGCCTAGCGTTGATGGCGTACCGTTGAGCTGCGTTGCGCTGCCTCTTCTTCTTACTATACTATCTGTGACGTTGTGTGTCCTGCGTGTACAGAGTGCTGCAATCATACGGAATCGACCTGTGCCTGGTCCCTCCCTCTTCGTTCGACGCATTCTCACATATTGTGCATTGTGTACGCGGTACGGCGCCAGGTGTCCACCCCCCCGCGATTGTACGGCTCTCACGCTCACGCCCTGCCAGCTAGCCGCGTACAGTAAGTGTCTATCCTAGCGTTCGTCCAAGTCAGCGCTATCCAGAATGTCGGGTCGTCAAGTTGGCAGGGCATCTCCCGGATAGGCAACTTGATGGTCGCGGAATGGTATGGTATACGGAGTACGAGTACGGACGATGGAGTGGACCGGATCAGCCGGGATGCGTAGGAAGTGGGTGTGGATGTCGATGGAACGCGATCGTGGCGCTCTCACACACGCACTCGTCCGCGCTACTGGCGTGCATCCGCACGAGGTTGTCCCAGAAGAAGAAAATTTGAGGATGGGTTCTCGAAGATTGGCCATGGATCTGCGCATGCGTGGTGAGCAGGTACACCCACCTACCCGGCCGACGGTGAGCACCAGGCAGGGAGAGATGATTGCGCAATGGCACTATGGTGAGAACAGGGTGAAGGAACGGTTGGACTGGCTATACACCACTGTTTAGGTGCCTTGCAGTACTTGTACACAGAAATGTGGTGCGCTACGTTCGTCGGAGCACGGTGCAAGACTTTGGCTGACTGGCATCACCGGTAAGACACGTTCTGGTTTAGGACATGGTCAGAGAATCGGCCCTAGCACAACTTGGCCGATGAGCCTACGAACCGGTTCATGCCATCCATGCTACTCCGAAGTATGTCGTTGTTCCTCGAAATCGGATGGTCTCTAAAACAGCAGTTGGTTTCTCTTTCTGCCTCGGTGGCTCATCCGATCATCCTCGTGAACTTCGTCCACGGCCCATCCTCTTGCAAGGCCGCAATATCCTCTTCAAACAGACACATCCCGAGGTCCATATTCCCTTCCCTGTCCTTGGGCATGATATATGTCAAATCTGGCAGAATATCCATCCTCGGTCTCCTTACGAAATCCGGTCGTCCATCCTTGTCACCTCCACTCAGCAACGGACCAAAGTCACAGGTCCCCGAGAGGTCCATCTGAGCCCACGAGGAGATGAAGATGTCCTTCCCCAGCTTCTTCTTCGCGCCGTAGAAGATTGTCGTCTTGTCTTCTGTCGTGTGGATCAGCGTGGCTAGACTCCGGATGTTGTGATCGTCGATTCTGTTCAGAGAGGCGCGGATGTCGTTGGCTACTTTTGATAATGAGGATTCTGGCACCGTGCTGGCGGTAGGCCATTCCGTGTACGCGAGTCCGACCAGGTGGCCCAGGTAGCCTTTCGGAACAGGAGGGTCGAGCCTTGCGCGGCCGTCCGCGGCGCGAAGACAATGGATGGACTCCGTGCGGGAGAGGCGGCCGGCAGCAATGCGAACGGCCGTGAGACGCTGGGTATAGAAGGCGGTGATTGCATCGTTGGTGGAGACCCGTGCAGTCTTATCTTGCGAGGCGAGGGTTTTGAGCTCGATGAGCTTGTCCTGCGAAAACCGCCAGTAGATCCACCGCGCTTTGGATCCCTGCGAAGCGGGAGGCACGCCGTTCATGGGCCTTAAGCTGGAGGGCTTCCGCATTTCATCATGCGCAAGGGCGACTTCTCCTTCCTTCAGCAATGGCACAATGCTATCGGCGTCCTGGTTCCCAGCTGCTACTAGCCCCTGGTCCAATGCTTCGCCTCGCAGCAGCGTGGCGAACTGTCGGATGAGCAGATCTTGGCCGTTCATGTCAAGCGCGTTGTGCATGCTGGCGAAACAGAGCAGTAGTCCTCCACGGATGAAGTTGGCCTGGATGATGAACACGGGCGTCACGACTGCCGGGTCGTAAACATAGCCCATGCCTCTCACGGGACACAGAACTTCGCCGTCAAGCATCGAAAAAGGGGCGCCAGCTCGGATGATTTCATCATAGGACGGACACGACTGGGTGCAGTCCTTTTGTCGGACGGGCGATTTGCCATCCGAATGGGGAGGATACGGCACTATCCTGTAAGTGCCTGATGTCGTGCTTGACCGTCCTTCGTTGATGACTTGACCTGTGAGGAAAGGATACGCAGAAAGCAGCTTGACAGCTGCTTGATCGAGCTCCCTGGTGATACTGTCTGGTATTTGACCGGACGATATGCGGAACCCGAGTACAACTACTGTGTAAGTATCCCAATTGAGTTGACCAAATATTCCTGGTTGTCGCATCTTGCCTCCCTTTCAGAGTTGCACATAGGGAAAAAACATACCTGGAACAAATGCTGTTGCGCATCAGTCAGAGAGCAGTAGTATGTATATCGACGTCTCAGGTGAGGTGATATGCGGGTGTGGCACGAGCTGAATAGACATACTAGTCTATCAGACCCGTGGTTCAAAGTGTTGATTTGGTGACAAACCCTCGTTGTAAGGTGACGACGCCCGCATGGCCAGACGCGCACAGCCCAACCACAAAGGCAATGAACAACGACCTGCATTTGCCGCATATGTTGGTAAGGAGCTGACTTTTCAGATCTCGCTTCTGCGTATGAAGCGGCTCCACCAATAGTAACAAGCCAGGCCACCTCCTTGATGATCTCGACTCAGCGGGATGCCTAACTCGACACGCGTCCCATGCTGTGGACCGTATGAATGGCCTGAAACTGCCAATCTGGAAATCAAAGGCCACCCGAATACCAACAGAATGAAAATGAGATTTCAAGGCGGACCTCGATATTGGTGCTTTCTGGTCTGTCTAATGGCGAATGCATAGCTCGACAAAAGCCGGCCAGATTGCAGGATACCCACCAGAGACAATGGCTTGCATTGATGGTTGATATATGTCAGGTGTCAAGAGTCACCCTCGATGCGCTGCACATCCATCAGCACAAGGCTGGGTGCCGCATCACTGCTCGTACCATCGGGAAATGGTGATGGTGCTTTGATCAAACCTCATGGAATGGATGAGTCAAATCACATTCGATTCGCCCTGTCCTGTGATCAACTCCAGCGCCATAGCTCACGAAAAGCTGATGCAGCCGCTTGAGATATGGCCGAAGGATCCGCTACGGCTGGAAGAAGTCGTAGTCGCAAACCCATTTAGCTGCGTCTGGACGAAAATTGAATGTGAGCAGGAGTCAAAGTCACGAGTCGAAATCGTCCCTCGCGTTGTGACTAGGAAGGTTATCCAAAGGGTTAGCCAGACAGTACCAAGTTGTCTCAGATTCAGACCCCTCTCAGCTCCGGGCGCCTACGCGCTTAGCTAACACGCTAACCTGTTTCCGGAGGAAACAGGCCTTCACAGAAGGGTCTAAGCTCTAATATATATATTAGGGTTAACTTTATATTCGCGTCGCGTGAAAACCGTAAAGGTTATTATATTTAGATAATATCTCGACTTTATATACTACTAACTATATTTATAAAAAAGACTTATATATATTAATAATAACTCTTTCGAAGCTTTATAAAATACACTTTTTAGAATTTTTAAAGCGGATATACTTCTCTAGATCTTATAGAAAGAGGTGTTTTTCTCTCGATATACTTTAACTTTATAACTTACTCCTTAGTACTAAAAAATTATTTTTTAGGTGTTCTTAGTATTAATAAGTAGAGAAATAGCTTTAAAATATAACTATAAATTTTATAAATATAATAAGTGAATTTAAGATAGTAGTATTCTAGTTTTTACTTATATAGCCGCCTATATTTAAGTTTATACTTAGTACTATAAGTATTTTTACGACTAACTAAGAAAATATTAATTACGGCTTAAATATACGAGAATAAATTATATAAACTATTATAGAGAGATACTCTTTTTCTTCTAGGCTTTATTAGATCGATATACTTAAGTCTTTACTATAAAATAAATAAGATATTATTCTATATATACTAACTAGTACTAGTAAAAGTATAATTATATAAATTTATTTAGCATTAAACCTAAAATAGGTACTATATATTATTCCTTTAACTTAACTAGGTAACGAATAAATTAGGAAGATTAATATTATACCTAGGCTAAAAGATTTCCTTCTTTATAATAAGACTAATATAGTAACTAGTCGCCGTACTCTTCTATATACTTTAACTAATTAATAATATATAAATAGTAAGTTATTTTTTATAAATCTTTTATAGATTTAATAGTCCCTAGATCTATAAAAGAATATAATAGTATATTAAGAAGTATCCGATACTTAGGGAGAGGGTTTTAGAGATCTAGTCTTTATAGATTTACGAAACCCTTACTATTCTTATAGTATATACTAATATCTATATAGTATTTATAAGTCTAGAGATCGCTATTTCTAGCCTTTTTAAATAGATAGTCCTTAAGAACACGGATATTATAGCGCGTCTCTAACTTATAAATATTAATGAGCTTTACTATATTATAAAATAAGGCACTAGCTTTCGACTAGCTTACCGGAGTCTATATATTCTATAGAATTATATATCCCTTAATATTCCTTAGTTTAAAGCGTTTATAATACTATAGCCTTCTATACTTCGGAACTACCTTAAGTAGGGCGGGTTTTACGGTAATAATACTTAAATAGTATACTAAAATCTTAATCGACTTAATATTTATTATAATCTATAAGCTATATAAATACCGGTAACCTTAGTAAAAAACTTCTTATTTCTCTTCCCTTCTTAGTCCGATAGCGATAAGCTTTAATAATATATCTTACGGATTCCGAAAATAATCGTCTTTATACGCTTAATCGACTATATTACGGATACTTATATTTACTTTATATCTTTATTAATAATACGATATTAAGTAAACTTTAATATAGTAAAGGCGCTAGTTAAGAACTTTTATCGTCTTTAGTTTAAAGATTTAAAATAATATATATATTATTAATTTCTTAACCTCTTATTTACTATTTAAGTCTTACTTATAACTAATATAGTTAAAATTAAAATAAACTTTCTAAATATCGAGATCGTTATTTAATAAGGCCTTTTAAATAGTTTAAATACCCTTATATAATAGCTTAAATAAGTAAGTCGAAATATAATAATACTAGCTTACTTCGTTTAGTTTATACTAAAGTATTTAGTATTTAATATATATTATAATATATTATAGAATATATAATTATTTAAGTTAACGAATATCTTAAAGTTTATATAAACTTATAAAGATATACCCCGATAAGGAAAACCTAGAATAAACGTATAACCTTCCTTTAAGGCATCTCTTATTTAACTCTAACTACTTCTAAATACTAAATAGTACTTTCGCTAAGCGCTATAGGAACCTTATAATATAAATAATTACCGGTATTTACTATAACTTTATCGTTATTATATATTTTACTACCTTAATAATTACCTATAAGTTTATAATAGTTAAGATAAATACTCTTTATTAAGTAACTAATAATCGCTCGAAAAATAAGTTTAGGATCTTAGTATTAAGGTATTACCGCGTATCTATATAGATTTAATAACTATAGTTTATAAGGCTATCGCTAAGTAAGCTAAACTAACGGTTAAGGGCCTTCTATCCTTAAGCTATATCTTTAAAAGTATTACTCTCTTCGAGATTATTATTAAGAAGTCGCTTATCCGGAAACTCGATAAAGCCGGTAACTAAGTGTTTAGCGTAGAAATCGTTAAGACTATTATCTTAAGCTAGATATAGGCCGACTAGTATAGATTTATAGTTATCGAGATTATTTAGAAGGTTTATTAAGAGTATAATTTATTAGAACGAATACTTAATATTTAAGATATAAAGATATAGTTATAAGAGTATAGTCTTAATATAAAACCTTAATCGTTAAACCGAGACTCTTAACTAAATAGTATATTTATATTAGCTTCTTTATCTCTAGCTACTAGTTAAATAAAAGGACGCTAACCTAGATATTCTAGAAAAGTAAGGGAATTATCCTCTTTATAAAGTACTATATATTCGTCGCCCTTAAGTAGTTAGGTTATTATTAAGACTAATAAGTAGGAAGAAACTCCTCTTACTTAAGATATATATATTAAGAATAAATTTATAAGAGAAACTATCTTATAACTTAATAAATTAGATAGGTTTAATATAACTAGCACTATTTAAGAAAAAGCTTTTAGTAGTAATAATATTAACTATAAATAAAGAATAAAGCGAGAGAAATAACGGGCACTAGATAAATTAAATATAAATATAATTTCGATATTAAGCGAGATTATTAAGAGAAGAGGTAAGCGAGTAATTTAACCTATAGTAAAATTAATATTATAGTATAATATATTTTCGTAGTAAATTAATATTATAATAAGGTTAAGAGAGAGGTTAAGGGTTAGTAAAGTTATTACTTCTTTAAATAATATTTAGTATAGTAATTAAGCGTTTTAATTAACTAGCACTTTAGCGTAAAGCTATACTTCTTTTCCTTCTTTTACTTACTTTTACGGATAGTATATAGATAACTAATAAGCTAAATAATAATATATATAATATAAATACTTTACTTATAATCTTTACGCCGTTCCTTTAAGATATAGTATATAGTATAGTTTAAGAGGTATTATTAGCTACTATATAAGAGATATACTTATTTAGCTATAAAGCCTTACTCTAGTTTAATATTTAATAAATCTAGAAAACCTAAATTTACGAAATAAAATTTACCTTAACTCTATAGTAAGAGCCCTTATTTAGTATATATATACTTTACTATATACGGTAAAGTATTTAGAAATATAATATTTATTAAGACTATATAGTTATATTATATAGATCGCGCCGTCTTTCTAAGTCTTTACACGCTATTCTATTTTTCTTATTAACTTTTAATAATATAAGTACTATAGATATATTAAATAATAGCTAATATATACTTAGTACCTCTATTTATAGAAGATATTTATAAGACCGTTAGTTAAGGCGGATAGTTAACGAAAAATATAAGGATACTTTATAGTCTCTTAGCGAAAGTCGAATTTCACTTTAAACTCTTCTTAAATATATCCTAAAGCACTATATATAACCGGTTATTCGTTAAATATTTAGATAACTTAAAACCTTTTATACTGAGACGATATATATAGACCTTACTATCTTTATATTATTTAAGTAGCGAGAATCCTTTAACGCTAGGCTTTAGGATATATTTACTAACTTACTATATTCCGAGGTTTTATTAATCGGGCGTTTAGAGGCTATTACTAGTAATATTAATAAGTAGTTAGCGACTAATTCCTTCCGAGCGGATAAT